GTCATCATCTTTGCCTCCATCTCAGGCATCACTGCTTCTCTGGGTAGGATCCTGCTCTCTGCTCTTCTCCCTTGATGGTCCTAGGGACCACTGCTCCTAGGCTGAAAAGTTAATCACTCCCCTCCTTGCTACAAAACGTCTAACTTTACAATTCCAACCCTCACAAGCAGTCCTGATAACATTTATTCACTATTGTATCATGAGACCCATCCACATTTCATTTCATCAGGCCCACTTAGACAGATTGTATACTACTCAGTGGAGATTCTACCTTCCTCCATGCTCTCTGAATCTAGGTTCCCTCTTGAAAGCTTGTAAGCCAGTCACTTCTTGCCTTTGTAGCCTCCCCCACCTTTGGGTAGCCAATGTCCAAGTTGCCCATCCCTGTCTACTCTGTGTATGGAGGGAGTAGGAATGATCCTTACTGTAAAGATTTGTTCCCTCTTTTGAGCTACTGCATCCATAGGTGTAGGTCAAGTTCATCAAATTGTTATCAGATTACTTTTTTGTCCTCTTCTTTCTTCTTCTGGTTGAGCTCTGATCATCCAGTAATTGAAGCCAGGACAAGTGGGTATTCTCTGCAAGTATAGGTATTCTTGTGCCTATCCCCTCTCTTCTTATCAGCTGGATGCTTCACTCTCCACTCTAGACCTCTGTGACTATGTCACTGACTCTGGGCCCAAGAGTCCCAAGGTCTTGCCACACTGCTGGCCAACCAGGTCTTCACCCGGGTTCATAGAAGTCTATTGAGCGTTGTAGGGCTTAGCTCGCCGCTTCATTGCTGTTTTTTCCTCACTTCCCCTTATCGGTGACCAATGTGGTCACCAATCAGAGCGTATATTCCCATTGATTCTTAGTCTTGGAAGGGAGTTTGCACTGAGGGGACCTGATCACTTGCCTTGATGTTTCCTGGGCAAGCAACTTGCTTGTTCTTGTAGTAACAGTCTGTCTGCCTCTATTGTTTTGTAATTTTCCTGTAGGTCTTTCTTTCAAGAAGTATCTTCTGTTCTACTAGCTGCTCCAGGCTGGTCTGCTCGTCCTTTTAAGTGGAAATTTCCCATCTCTGAAGATCTGGATGTGGTTCAGGCTTCCACCTACAGGCTTATGTATTGCAGAGGCTCCACAGGAAGCCTCCTTCACTGGGCATGTTGTAGCCCCATTTTAGGTATTACTATCAGTTATAGGCAGAAGATGGATTTACAAGCTTTCTATGGTGATGTTTCTGGCTATTCCTTTCTCTCCCCCCCACCCCCCAGTGTCTATTTTATAATATAATGCAAGAAAAACCAAGATTCAAAAGACAGTCAAGCATCTTAACATTATTCCCCCCGTTTCCCCATTCCAACCATGGGTCAATCTCTGTATCCCAGAGCCCTGTTGTTCCGAAGGTTGTGCATACATCATTACTTACCTCTGTCCCTCTGT